TCTTTCCCTTTCTGATTATTTCACTCCAGTTTCAGTTGCATCTCTAACTAGGCCAAATATCTCCTGCTGCCATGATTAGACGAATGACTTCTCTCCTAAGTAGAGGAAAAGACAAATGAAGTCTATACAAGGGATCTGAAAACCTAAAGCCTGTGTATCTTTAAGATTCAACTGCTGAGTCTATCATAGTCTAAATATCTGACATGAGGTAAACATTTAACGATAATGATTTATCTGATTGCACGTTATTCTAGCTTATTTCTTTTCAATATTTAGATTAAACGTAAATTAAATGTAAAAAAAAAAAAATCCATCGCATTCCAAACGTGAAATTAAACCAAAATTTTCAAGTAAATATACCAGCTGTTACAAAACTCTCATAAAGAACAATTTCAAATTTTTTGACTTTGAAAAGATCAGACTAAACACATAAGATACATTTTTCTACAATACCTGTTCTATTTTTCCTTCCCGAAAGGCAAGAATTCGTGTGGCATTTTTAAACTCTGCATATCTGCTAACGTTTGACTTAATCAGAAGATCAATTAACAGACCTCGGGAGTAAAGGAGCTGCACAATGAACAAAAATACTATGGTGAGTCAAAAAAAAAAAGAAGCACTTATACCAAAAGAAAATAGTAACTCCAATACTATTCCTTTGCAAGATGTTTTCTAACTATTTACAGGTACACATAGTGAAGTAAAATCTGAGCAAAATAATATCAAATATATAGCATGTTCAAATAAAATTAACTGAAGTAACCACAGAGACAGGGGCAGAAGAGAAAGCAGTCCACAGGACAGAAGGTTTCAGCCCACTGTTGATCTTATTTTATTAGGTTGGCAGACCTTGAGAAAGAGAGACCTTATTTGGCGACCTTGAGAAAGAAAGTCACCTTGGATCCAGTCACATAGTGAAAAGGAGAAAGCAGAAGCTTACTTCTTCACCACTACGTGGGCTACAGTGTGCCAAGATGTACCATAGCCAAACTGCATCGAAATTTTGCTGGTGTCTAAATTAAAATACTCTGTACCGCTTTTGCTTTCTAAAAGTAGCATCACTTTAATAAAGTAACTTGGGATCTCAAAGATACAAGGGGACAACGGGGCAACGTTCTAGGCCACTTTTCCTTCCCATTGTCTTCAAAGTTTATCACTGGACAGTATTATTCATATTTAAACACTCCGCATACTAATTTACACAGATATATTGAACACTGTCTCCTCAAAACATTTTGCAAAATCAGCAGCCAAAGTTAATGGCCAAAGCTGCTAAAAATCTCCAAACTCAAAATTCCTTTTCTCTTCTATTATTCACCATTTTCACCATGAAGACTCCTTTATTCAAATTCATCTCTCATATTCTGTACACTTTGAAACAAGCTGTGCTTCAAAATCCAGACACATACATTGGCAGATAAAGAAAAGAGCAATTAATGCGAAGCTGATTTTAACACAGCTTGTACTACTGCACCAGTTTTCAAACTTTTAAGATATCTACTTAAATTTTGCATGGTTCCCCTCCCCCGCCTGTATAAAAACATCACTAGTTGTTTCTTTCATAACCAGAAGTGATAATGTCACCATTTTCTAAGTGTAAATTCCTTAAAGTGCCACAGTTACTCTTTTGTCAAAGTGGTATGCAGGTTTAGTCATATTTTGCTATGCTGCTTTATAAGCTGTCTACCTTCACCCTTTCTGCTAGCAAAATATGTTATTATGAAATAATAGTTACATTTCCATCCTTTCAATAATACAAGACATTAAATTTAAATTTAATGAATTGAATTTAAAAACAAAAGGTCCGCTAGAGAAACTTGTAGTTCTAACTTTCTGCGGGTTTTGTGATCCTGAGTAACAGGATTCGCATGGTTACACAAGAGATGCAAAACCCTGGCCACTATTTCAAAATCACAAGTTCTGAAAAACATGCCCCCAGTATGAAATTAATGCTTAATTTTCAAGATAAAGGTCTACTGGAACACTCTGGGAAAGTCCAAAAAAGTCCCAGTGCCAGAGAGAAACCAATGAGAATTACCAGTCCCGTTTTGCCTCATCTTCTGTCAGAATTTCTGGAATCTATTGCAATTATCATTGCGTAACAAAGTTTGAGACAGTGGCACAGAAAACGTATACTATGCAAAACAGATCTACTCTACCACTATAAACTGACTACTGCTTTCATAAGAGGCATCTAAAAGATGCATAAAAGAGGCATCTAAATTTGGAACACAGAGTAAAAAAAACCATGAAATAACGTATTTTGTAGTGTCTACACAAATACTTCAAAAGTTATCTTCCATTTTTCAGAAGTTTGAAAAACTTTTCATAAAGACTACGAAAAATTAAGCACTGAACTTTGGGGGAAAAAATCCCTTTTCGTTGCACGGTATATAGTCTAAAGCACAGAAGTTTTTTAAAAATTCCATTTAACTTGAATTTGCAGGGACATGCACATATATTGCTAAGTAGCTAAAAGACAGGTTTTAGATCTTAAACTGTATGATAAATACGTCAGATTCTAATAGCTTCTCCTCTAACGAAAAAGCACACAAGAGTAGCAATTTGACACAGCAATAAAAATATCTTATTTTACTCAACTTTTATGTTAGGGACTAACTGTAGTTATTTTTTTTTCCAGTACAGTTTATTGCAATTCAGCTTTTCAGTTGCCTGAGAACCAGAAATGGTACATTATATATAAACAGAGTGACAGTGAGAGTACCACAGGAAAATCTATCTGAGAAGGTAAGCACACCCAATAAGAAAATTACTTTTCATCTTAATAACATCAAAGATCTGCATTTAAATTAGCTTTCCTTGTTTAAATATATATTTTTTTTATTTTAAAACGCCATCATCAAAAAAAAGTAGTTTTACAGATATTACTTAGGCTCTCAATTTCAGGAAAGTTACTTTTATGGATATACTTCCGAGCTATGCTTTACGGTCTCTTTGGTTAAAAAAAAACATTAAAGAACACATATGAAGCAGTTCTTGTTTGTTTTAATAGCGCTATTGATTGCTCACTTCCCAAGAGAATATATCTTTTGCCTTAAAGGTACCATTTCAGCCCTCTAAGATTTAAAAAATTTTCAGCGTTCAAAACAAAGTAAATGTACCTGAATGAAACGTCATTAAGTTCCTACCTTGGAAACTAAATCAATATTAAACCTTCTGCCTTCTCTAACAATTTGGGAATACGTGATTTTCTTTGGTTCTTGGGTAGAAATTTCTGAGGGTGCAGCTTCTGTTTTTCCCAGTTCCAAAGTGGACTCGCCTAGAGGTGCGCTATGAGAACTTCCACCCTCAGAGGTTATTTCTGCATCATTCCTTTCTGTTGCACTCGCTGGGTCACTGCCTGCAGCCTTTTCTGGTTCCCAGCTCTCAGCCCCGGGCAAGGCACTTCCCACAGGTGCACTCTCCTTTTCTGATTCCTGAGCAGCCCCCTCAGCACCAGAGGCTCCAAAGACAGGCAGCTTTGACAAAGCACCAGCTTCTTCAATATCTTCAGCTGAATCCTGACTGATTAAAAACACAAGGGGAAGAAGCGGGGTGGAGGGGAGGGAAAAAATAGAGAAGGCTTTAAAATTGTCTTAAAAACTTGCGTAACGTTTTGAGTCAGTGTTAGCAACGGAAACATCAGAACCCTTTCTGTGAAAACCATTAAAGTATCTCTACCCTGGTCAAATGAGGTGTCACCAACTAAAGAACTCTGGATTTCTGACTGTAAAACTAGATTCAAGTGGAGTGTTAGTGCAGGGGGTGGGCGAGGGGGGTATGAAAAAAAAAGAAAAAAGCTGTGTGTTCTTGTTTTACATAGAATCCAAAATTACAATCAGCTTAATATCAAAAACAAAATCCTCATGGCAATACACGTTACACAGCTATACAAAGCCATACAATATTTGAAAAAGAAACATTAATTGAATTTGATTGTTTTTTCACTAAGGATAAAAACCTTTAAAATTGAAGTGCAAAACACATTAAAGTTGTAAGCCAAGATTTTTTGAAACCAAACTCGCTGACGAAAACAGAACTGCACTGTAGGACTGAGACTACTTTGCTTCTATTACAGCATGGTTTCAAGAGAAGCATGGAATTTTGAACTGAAATTCAAGTTAAAATTAAGTTGAAAAGATTATTTTTCAGACTCTAATCTTACAATCTGAGTAGCTGTTCAAGTAATAGCCATAAGGAACAGTTTACTCACATAGCAACATTTCTTTTAATAAGGCACTAGAGTTCGTAAGCTTAACCAAGCACTGATCGATTATGAACTGAATACATGTATCCTGTTAAAAGTATTTTCACCTTTACTAACTGTTTATAATCTTAGATTTATTGCAAGTATGGTAAATCTGTGCACAGTTCTGATTAATTCCTAACGTGCTTATGATGAAGGCAGCTAGTCAAAAGGAGAGACGTTATCACACACAAGTATTCTATACAGTCCATTTCCTTTTCATAATGACACAATTCTTTAAAATTCCTCTTAAAAAGCAGACCTCCACTTTTAATCTCATCTACCCTTTTCATCTTGAACTTCAATGACATCTACCTTAGAAACTGGTACTTTTGAACTTAGAATTTTAGCTTATACTACCAGCTGAGATGAATCAAATCAATGTCATTATAAGTGAAAGGAGTTCAGCAATAATTTCACATTATCTTTTTATCTTGATACCACAAGCCATTAATGCACTGAATAAACAATTTAATCTCAGCTGAAAACTAACGAACTATGATTTTTAAGGTGACCTGCAAATGTACAGTACTGAATTTCAGTAACTATTAGGATGGTTAAAATTCACTGAACAGCAAGGAATTACTCAGCTCACTTGTAAAAAAGAGTTCCTTCACACATCTGCAGCCACAGAGGTGGAAGCGGGAGGAGGAATTTCTGTTCCAGTCATAAAAGGGAAGAAGAATTCTGCTCCCTTTAAAAGTTGTTCCTCACTTTTCTCCTTGTGACCTCAGGGAACTTGCATGGACTAATGAAAGTAAGAGCTTGGTACAAGTCTCTCAGCCTGTGCACAACCACCAGGAAGCACTTATGAATGGGATAAAATACTGCCCTGGGAAGTACAAGAACCGCTGTACAGAAGCGGTAATGAGAGAAATCTGTTTCTGTACATTAATTTTTTATGTCTCTCTGCTTTATATGGCAAACATTAAATACATATAAAATATCAAAGACAAAGATAAGTATTGTCAAATGTTTCTAAAAAATTAATCTCTGCTAAAAATACAACTGAGTCAATTCAATTGGAGGGGGGGAGGTTGTTTGTTTTAGGAATTTGGAACACGCTGCAAGCAGACCTAAAAGCTATTGTCATTAATGCAATCACTAAAAATCGAGCTTTTATTTCACCCTTTCTAAAGATTTATAAAATACAAGACAAACTCAGGGCAAGCTTTCTTCCTCCCTTCTCCCAGCCTCACTGCATAGATCAAGCTCATTTTAAACACACTTGATTAATTAGTCTTTAAAACAGCAAAGTAAAATTTGGATTTGCAATACATTTTTGTCTTTTTTCTATATCACTCTGAAACACAGTATAACAAAAATACTATATTTACATATTTTAAAACTAAATTCAATTCCCACTTAAGGAATACGTACATCTGTATGATTTGCAGCTCTACACACTTTATAATGGAAGCCTAAAAACCATATATAATCTAAATTCATGACATCTTTCCTATAGGAACAAATATCCCTGAATAATGTAACAACTGTCTATAAAAATCACTCAAATTGAACTTTTGTGCAGACAATTCTTCTCTTAATTCAGAAAAAAATAATACATCTGCAGACAAATTGTTGTGTAAATTTAGAATATTATCTTCCACCATTCATCAATTAATGGTACTAACAAAGGAATATCTTAAAATGAATGTGTCTTATTAATGCCTTGTAACAGCAACCCCTTCAGATAGGTCAAATGAAAAATTGCCAACCAGCTGGTTAATTTATTCAGCACAGGTGTTCACTATTTATTTTTCAGCCATTTGCCTTTTTTCAATACAGCTTGTTGTAGACACAGTATTCTTTTCCTTTGATGGATGCACTTTGTTCTAAGGCCATTCATTTCAGATTTGCACCGTGTATATTATACTGCTACCCAGCTGTTTATTCTTTCAAAATAAATGTTTAATGGTTACTTCATAGGAGTTATAAAAGTTAAGCCAAAGCAACAGAATCTAGCCAGAATGTGTAAATTGTTAGAAACACAATAATTGACTCTCTCAGAAAGTTTAAGTTAATTTGGTAAACTTTTTCTTTGCTAGTTCTATCAGTCTAACAATTCTTCCCTGTTATTTTTTTTTCCTCCTATGATAAATGGAAGATAGCGTTTTACAGCCGGACTAAGTTTAAAATAGCGTCAGAACAAAACTGAAGATTCAAATAGAACGCTCACTTCCAAAACCTGTGACACCTAGGGGGACCTCGGGGACTTTCTTCTGAGCCCGCCATGAGTCAGTATCACCTCTTTAGTAAGAGTCTTCGCAGGAATATTACATTACCTATCATAATAAGACTACAATATTATATTGACATTGTTTTAAAACAAGCATGAAATTTGATCTGCAGTATGGTTAAGCAGCCATTACCGTGCAATGCAACTTCTGAATATTCTGACCGTGACCTTCAGATTGCCTTGATCCAATTCTTACGTTCTATTATTTTTACTATTTGTGATGTTTACAAAAAGAAATAAATGTTTCCATATGAATATATGTCAATGTTTCATTCAGCTACCTAGGATGTTATCTAGGAAACTCAAGGTTAAACTTTAAACCACTATCCCAAAGAACCTTTCAGAAATTCAGAGTAATATTCAATTCAGTGCAAAACACTTAAGATACAAAATTAATAAACAAACAGAGAGAAATAATTTAGTTTTCAATTAGGGCCCACAAAATCTCCATTCATTACCATACTTAACGCACTATTTGAGATTACTGCTTAACAAGGTTACTTTTAGATGTTGCTTTATATCAGTGTTTCAGATAATATGACATTGTGAAAAGTTTACCTCTTGTATAGCTTATACATAATGAAGTATCATACTTCTATTTAACAATTTAAACCAAAAAACGAAATTTCAATTCTTAACTTTGGCTAATGCAAGCATTACGAATACCTAACTAAAATTACTTTTAGTCATATACTCAATTCTAAGACAGTATATTACTCTTGACTCACTTCTGCAACAAAAAAGTACACGTGTGTATTTCAAACTAAGCATGTATTTTTTGCATTTTGTATGTAAAGTAAGAGCTGAGTTACCTTACTTCAAATACAAAACAGTGACAGCCCGAGAAGGTTAACTGTTATTATATTATCAGGAACTGTCGAACACGCCAATTCATTCTAAAATACCATGAGAAAGCACTTTCAAAGAATAAGCTGAATACACTGAATACAAAACTAACAAAGGGCAAGTACTGTTTTATTACTGTAGCAAGGTAAGTATTTTATAATTACAGAACTACTGTCCATCTATGTTCTTACTCTTGCGTACACCTTTCAGCCTATATGTGCAACAAGGGAATGTTTACTAACGAGTTTAACTTTTATTGTGAGAACAGCACCTTTTAGCCAAATTAAGAATAGGAAATTTCAAAATATGGTAGTATGTAACTAATGAGAACTTCTGCTTTTGACTCAGAAGCAAATTGACTGCCAACTCACAAAACCGCCAAACAAATTACGTTGCACCAGATAAGGCAGTGTAGGAAGAATCTTCCTATATATTTACCTTTAATGAAGTACAAGTGATTTCAAAAAAAGAGCTTTTACTGAAGAATTTTATAACTTAGTTCTTTTTCAAGAACAAAAGGAAGTATCGCGGGTGGTGAAATGCTCAAATCCCAGAGCATAACATAATGATTTATCTGCGACATATACAATTATTTGCATCTTTCCATATCCATACTTACTTGCTGAAACAGAAATCCTCTACATGTTGAATAGTTTTATCCGTCTTGTTCAGAGAAATAACTTCTTCGTTCTCAAGGATCAGTTTTCTCCAGTCTTCACATTCATCATTGACATCAGTCTTCTGCTTAAAAGAACAATTACAAAATTGCAGATTTGTACTGCACTAGCTGCTCTTAGATGATACATCTCTATTTCCAGTGATTTGTCTTTGTTTAACAGTCTTAATGTTTTTTCCATTAAGACTTTTGGCGTAGAGAGTAAAATAATAAGGGCTGGTCACTTCACTGCAGCATGCCAACATTTACACTACATTATTAGCTCTATTAATTTGAAAATGCAGCATTAAACGAAATGCAAGTTTTAGCAGAAATTTAAATATAATACAGTAAAATTTAGGTTTGTCACAGCCAGGCTAGTTCCAAATTTTGAGTCAAAACTCTTCGAATGGAGACCATAACATGAAATATATAAGTCTGTCTACATAAGTATCTCTAAATTATAATGAATTTTCAGAGGGGGGGGAAAAAAAAAATCTTGCTGCAAGCCCAAGTAGCATGACCTTTTTCGAGAAAGCCAACTCCAAGTGGTCCTCTGTTCATTTACATGCTGAAACTGCCAATAGTGTTTCACATTGTCAAGACTTAATATTTATTAAATGTTTTTGTGTCTAAGGAAAGATGGACTATATGGAAAGTTTAAGAACCAATGGAAATTTCTGCATTTGGACATGAATAGTTTTTCCTCTAACATAAGATGAATATTTCTTCTATTCTCAATACACTATCAAAAATGGTAGAGATGTGTAATCTAAATTGCCTTTTCACAAGGAACCCTTGGTTAATCACCATAATCATTTCCCTGAAAAAACTCGCTTTATAGTAAGCATAGCAGAATTGTCATGTTCATCAGCCTTACAGCAAAAACGAAAGAAAAGCATCAGGGAGGAAAGCAAATACTCTCCCCCAAAACACAAGTTGAAGGTAACGAATGCTATTGAAGATGCATTCAGCTTAGATTCTATCAGGACAGAAAAGAAAGAATATGCATATACATAGGAAGAATATGAGAAGAATATACATATTAGCAATGTAAGAAACACTGACGACGCGTATCTGGTAACTGCATTTTTATATAATGTCTACGCAGGAGAAAATACCTTCTAGAAGAGCTTACGCAGTATCTGGAGCACAAAGTGCAATTCTGTATTCTTTGATACAAAGAAAGGAAGAAAACAAGTGAAAACAGAACAAAAGTTACACCTCAAAAGAAACTGCAAAGTGTCATGAACTTTGAAAACATAGCACAACAGCTCAGAGACACAGTCTATTAGAATTTCTCCCAAGCACAATGAAAGCGATCCGTTTCCCTTCTTTTTATTTTCTTCGTTGCGTTAATTAAATACTGGGCACTGAATGTGCAGAATTTTAGGCCAAATTAATAGAAGTTCACACTAAAATTTTCATTTATATTCTGATAAAAAGCAGGTAATTGTGGGACTGAGATTTATGTAGTAATTATGTGACAGGTATTCACACTCATATTCCACAGAATTTAAACATTTCCATACCTCAGAATACTGGAAATCTTAAATTCAGATTTGATGTTACTGTAAATGTTTGTCATTTACATCATCCTTCAAAATGATAAACAGCAGAGGTCCTAATAACGAGTAGAGTGAAAAAGAAATTATTGAACGTTGGAATCTGAATATTAAAAAGCTGTGGAATTCACCAGCTTCTAAGTTAAACGCAGCAAAAGCCCCTACTGGCGCTTTAACTGAAGCAACATTACCACTTTGGATGGATGACCGAATCCCTTCAAAGAGACTATTCTTTCTCATTGCTACAGAAATTTTTAACGCAGAACTACTTTTCCAGGGATGTATTTCCTCTTACAAGTCTTCCTCAGGATCACGTGATAAATTTCTACTCTAATTAGAGCATTTCAATATCAGAATTACTTACTGAAAATCATATGGCAACTTAAGTAGACTTCAAATGAATTTAGACAATGTATTTTTAGAGTTGAATTGTGCTGGCAGCCTCTCAACACTGATACGCCAGGAAAGTTTTAAGCTGGCTTACAGAGTAAGACAGGTAAGGTACCGCTCCCTAAAACACTGCCCATATACAGAAGTTTGGACTTTGTAGGCCGACAGATCACCCTGGCAAATAAGTACAAAAAAGGCAAGCAGATGTTCTTGGATAGGTAAGTATGGTTCTCCACAGCAGGAAACAAAACAGAAGTAGACAGAAAAGGTACAGAGAGCTTTCATTGTTTTCTCAAAATCTCTTCTGGCTATTTGCTAAGTTGAATCTGGCTGGAAATAAACTTCTAATTGTAAGAAAAAAAAAAAAAAAAACTGTCTCCTGTTTGACTGTTTTGGGATTCAGTAATTGAATTGTATATACTCTTTGCAAGCAAACAGGACTGAATTAAAAGGAAGATCCAACTTAATCAATTTCTCTTATCAAAAATGAACAAGTTTGCTTGAGTCAAAAGATAGTCAGCAGAAAGCCAGAAATTAAACAGAGAATTTTAGAAGTGGCAGACACTGAAAACATTTTCTGACATAGATCAGCTCTACTGGTTATGTCAGAAGGTAACTCTATGTAATAAGTAAGTATGAGAGGTGAACTGAAGTGATAAAGTTCCAACTTGTATGAACCAACAAGCTCCTACCGCTTCCATAAATAACACCAGCAACATAGCATTTAGCCATATCTATTTGCTAATATACTTCAAATGCTTGCTGTCCTAAATAAGTATCCTCTAACTTTGGTCATCGAAAAATACACTATTAGCATTGACCTCTTTGTCTTGGTTACAAGACACATTTCACTCAGAGGATCCAATAACTAACTTTTTGACGGTTAAGGGAGACGCAGTTGAAAGCACTCAAGAAAAAAAAAAAAGGGGCTGAAACAGAGATAACAATGTGAAAATTAAAGAAAATAATGAAACAGGAAATGGAAAAGACCAGATTACCATTTTAAGAAGGTGCTAGGAAAGGAATACTCGCTTCTACATAAATGCAAGAACCCCAAAAATATGACTAAGAACTGGAATGTTTGGTCTTAGATAAAAACATTAATAAACTAAGCATATCAGAATCTCAGTGGAAGGAAGACAATCAATAGCACACTAGTAGCAGGATACAAAATGTAAAAGAGAGTAAACAGTACCAGCAACACAGTAGTACAGTACATTAAAAAGCATTAGGACACTCTGTAAGTAAGTCTCAATCAACACGGATTGAAATTCTAAACTTAAACAGGAAGAATGGAATATCAGCTCTCTACTTAAAACAACTAAGACCGAAGAACTGACTGCAACATGAAAGAGGAAACACAATTGGACTGTATGAGTTCTCCTACCCCTGCTGGGCAAATATCAAAACAGCATATGAGAGCAAGTTTGTGGAGCTGACTATACGCACTGAATAGGAATGCTTACAGAAGACAAAAATCACAATAAACATTAATTTTTCCATTGGTATTTACTGTAGCATACACTTCAGACATGGAGCACACCTGAGAGATTTCCATACCATATCTGTTTTTTGGGGTGGGGTGAGTGGAAGGGAAAGGACATGAAAAGTGGACTGTCTAAGTGAGAATGGAGGAGTTTATGGTAGAAGGAAATGAACATCAATAAATCCTCCAAACTAGATAGTGTTGGCCTAAAATTTCTACAAGAGCTCGTGAAAGAAATACCTAAATTACTCACTGTGTGTGTAACCTTTCGTTCAAAACTTCTCGGTAGTTAAAGACTGGAGAGCAGCAAACATGATGTCAATCTTTAAAAATGATTCTGAAGGGATCCAGAGGACTACAGGCCTATTAGCCTGACATCTGCACTTGACAAGTTAGCGGAGACTAACATAGTGAAAGGGATTAGTAAACACGTGCATAAATAAAATCTATTTAAAAGGAATCAACTTGTTTTCTGCAAGACAAAGGTCTGCCTTTTAAATGTCTTTGAATTCTTTAATAGTGAATAAACATGCAAATAGATTATAAAATCCACTGGGATTTCCGAAAAGCTTTCAACAGGGTCCACAACCAAAGGCCTTTTAAGGAAAACAAGCCTCACCAAAGGCCTTTTAAGGAAAACAAGCCTCACCAAAGGCCTTTTAAGGAAAACAAGCCTCACCAAAGGCCTTTTAAGGAAAACAAGCCTCACCAAAGGCCTTTTAAGGAAAACAAGCATCCATGGTCTACCTCATGAGACAAGGTCTTGAAACGGCTATCTGGTTAAAAGACAAGAAAAGGAGGGTAGCACTAAATGGTCAGTTCTTGCACTGGAAGGAATGGAACGATCAGAGTTCCTCAATGCTCTACTCTGGCACTGGCGGCGTTAAATCTACTTAAAAATGGAAAAAGGAGAAAGCAGCAAGACAACACTTACTGATAATATGATACTATTCAGGGTAGTTAGGACACAGACGGATAAAGATAGGATAAAGAATAGAAGACGACCTTGCAGGACACAATGCTCAGCAATAAAGTTACAGATGAAACTCAACATAGACAAATGTAGTGATGCACATGGACAAAAATAATCCTAGGGTCATGTATGAAATGATGGCCTCTATACTGACTATTAACAGTCAAGAGAAAGGTTTTGCTGTTACAGTAGATAGTTTCATGAAAACAGCTCTGCGCTTGATAGCAGTCATAAAAACAAGTGTAAGGATTTTTTTTTTTTTTAAACAGAAGGAAGAGAGAATAAAACAGGAAACCATTTATGTCACTGTGTAAATCCATGCTTTTTCCCCCATGTTGAGTATCACATGCAATTCACGCCATTTCATCTCCTTCAGCTTTGAGGGAGAATTGGAACCACTTCTGGAAGCGGAGAAGTTTCAGAGAAGGGCAACAAGGATGATCAAAGCTATGGAACAACTTTCATAAAAGGAATGACAGGGTGGGTTCCATTTCCTTGCCCAGTTTTTACTCTTCCTGCTGCCTGTGACCAGTATGGCAGACAAAACTGAGATAGATGGATGAGTCTTAACTGGTAAAGCTGTTAAGTAAAAACCTATTTCATCTGTCAAATTACGAGAGAGATAAAAGCACTGCAGTAATCTGTCTTGCAATAAATTATGCACACAACCAGTAACAACTGGATTGTTATATCTTAAGATTATGTATTTTCCTTACAGACTGCACAAGGAACTGTAATTCCCTTCTTAGCTACCTAATAGAGAATTACCATGAGTCCAAGGAGATGTAGGTTGTACTCCCATCTGTAGTAGAAAAATTCTTGTAAAATTTTCCTGTGTTACACCTAATCAGTGTACTAAAAAGCTCTCTACTTGCAAACCAACAGGAGTAATATTAGGTGGAAACATCACTAGAATTACTTGAGGCTTAACTCATTGTACCAATGAAATGCTGTGAGAACTTCAGAGGAAACAACTTATTAAAATATAAAATGAAATGAACAACTGTAGCCAAATAGGAGTAAAACGCTTAAAAACACATGTCATTAACTCTCAATAGTCAAAAGTCCATTTAAAAATTATACTGAGTACAGGGCTATCTGGTCTCCTTTAGTCATCAAATAGATAGTTTTCAAGAACGTAAAATATAACAGACATATAGCAGCTTAGGGTTTTTTCCCCTCTAGTCTCAATATTTATCCAGTAGATGGTTCCCAAGGAATACTAAGTAGCCTCTCTCTCTCTCTCTTTTGTTTTTCACCATAGCCTTTAATGTTAAAGAATATTAAAAGAAGCAATTTGGGAAATTTTTACCTGGTTTTCTTTAATCCAGGACAACAACCCTGAAAAGCTAAAGCTGGCCCAGTTTCCGCCATAGTAATTTCTCCTGCAAAGGAAAAATAACAATGAAATTTAATGGATAGAAAACATAAAACATATTTTTCTCAGGTTTAAAAAAAAAAAAAAAAAAAAAAAAAAAAAAGAAAGGGCAACAGAGTTGCACTCAGAACGTTTTACCAGATTTTACATGTGCAGAACATGCAAGCTGGCATAATATGTTTCAAAAATGTTAATCAGATGTAAAATTCCCCTTTTCCTTCACTGTACGCTGATGCGATTTTGGTCATTTCTGACCAAATAAACCACAGGCTGTCCATTATACCTGTAGACAGGTTATCCAGACACCAAAAAGAATAATGCTGAGAGAAAGCATATTGGATGCTGTGTGCCACAGAAAAATATGGATATATACCACTTCTTGGCCAACACTGTCTCTACACTTCTGTAACTCAAATACATACACAAGGTATGTTTTTTTGTGCTTGTATCACATTGCACAAATATTATGCTTATGGACTGTTTCAAACCTCTGGCAAAATCATTTCTAAATTGCATGTACTGTAGGTGGAGCCAAACGGACTGATTTGTACAAAATGATCATACCTTCTTGAGCACTCTTCAGCGTATATTTACTGCCTTTGCCTTGAAAATTTTAGTTTACTTGTATAAAAATCACAGAAAAGTAAGTTACGTTGTTCAGCAAAGAAACGGTCTCTGCTTTCCCCTTTTTAAATTTGTTCCACCAATATTTCCCTAGATATCAGCTGAATGAATTAGCACTTGTTATCATGAATTTCAGATCTTAAATAATTAGTAACTGTGTTAGGAAAAATAATAGAACAATTATATATATTTAAAAAAAAACACTCGACTCGTCCTTGCAAAATAAAAAAGTAACTTCAGGATTTAACTTAAATGTCAGTTCTCTAAATTATGCTGATACTTCAGAAAAGTGAAGGATACCACAAACTGAACGTACACTTAATCTTATTGCACACACTAAAAATGTTTAGGAAGCAAGATGGTTTTTGTGTTTTACAGAATGCAAAGATTCATAATTCCAACAAACTTAAAATCTCATCATAAACTCCCCCATTTTTGAATTATGGAGATAAGTGTGATAAAAAAAGAAATAAAATTCAGGTTCTATTCTACTGCTTAAGATAGGATGGTTTTGACATGGGTTATATGCACTGACAAAGACTTCATTAAGGGTGTCAGTCCCTTTGCAGTACCAGGGGGTGATGCTCTATACTATGTTGCTTACTTAGCATATGAAAGACAGATGTCTGCTAAACAATCCTTAATTGTTCCTGACTAGAAACTGACCTAAAAAAGTCTTTCAGCTACTGAAAGGCAATAGTAAGGAACATAAATAGGACATCTTTTGCAAAGACAACAAAATCCAGCATTCACTGAATAAAGGTGGCTTCAAGAACAGAACACAGTGTTCAGGGCCATGATCTGAGAGGACTGGGCCTATACTTTAAGGGAACCCATGTATTTTATCCAGCAATTTGTTCATTCTAAGCAGAAGAGGTCCATCTGTAGATCTGTTACCAACCAGAAACTCAGCTCTTCTATGAAAAGGAGTTAATATTTACCTCATTATGTGAATGATATACATGAGGTTTAAAACATAAACACATATATTTAGTATCACTTAAAATGCAACGGAGTGAGAATTAAATATATTACTGAATCCCTGATTCTGCCAGATTTCAGCCTGTAAAACAGCAACGGACAGAAAACTTAGTTCTATACAATTATAATTATAATCACCAGCTTTACTTTAAAGTTCAATGGTACATGTTAAGTTCTTGTTCCTTCTTAAGATTCTACTGAATGAAAAGTTCAATATCCATAACTTATCTGCCACTTCTGGGAAGTCTGAAAACACAGCCACCAAGATTTACTTTAAGAGAATCTGCTGCTTTAGTTGCAAGTTTCCTTGAATATGGAATACAATCTGCCTGTCAGAGCAAGCAAGGGCATCGATCACAGAAATTGCAGCAAACACCTGGATAAAATTAGGACTGGGTTTCTTGAGCCTACACCAATATAAATTAGTGCATATTTGCAATACTTGAAATCAATAAACTTTGACTAAGAGAAACAAGTATATTGGCTCGCAAGTAAAATTATGTAACTTTCTGTGACAGTGTCAGCCTAGATCTTATTCTCTCAAAATTTCTCTTATCACTTGGATTTTTGTATGAATTGAAGTACTGCTGCTTTTAGATCAGATTTTTCAAATCCTGAATTTGTAGTTCAGGAGTAACAGCAGAATTACCTAAGACATCTTTGTGAAGTTTTGGAAATGCAGCCTAAGTACAGTTTTATCTCTGGAAAGAGCTTAATTTTCTCTCCTCCTACACTATTTTGTGGGGTTTTTTTCCCCCCTCAGTTGCTAACATCCTTTTTTCTATAAATACTTTCAAAGAATTATCAAATCTCATCCCAGAACACTCTGAAATTGCAAACCGGTTTCAACTAATTAACGTTCTTGGACTCCAAGCCAGGAGAACCAAGGAAATAGCTAGCATTTCCTTTTGAAGACAGACAGCAATTTGAGAACGCTTAAGAAAGCATGAGATACACAGGTAAGACAGAAATAAGGGCAGAAAGAGTCTTTTATGGACTATGCCGGTTAAGAGATCGCCCTTCTGAATGCCATGTCATAACAGCCATGCTAAAACAGTCAAAGCTGGTGGTACCTGAAGAGAAGCTGCTGATCCTTCATGATTGCTCCCAGGAGCTGCCTGCATGCGTCTGTCCTGCATTTGATCTTTCAGAAAGAAGTCTCCTACCATCAGAGTAGCTGTCTTTTGCAAAGGGAGTTACTGCCACATTGATTTTAAGGATCTGAACACAAAACGACTTCTTTTTCAAATGCGTAAAATTTCACATACTATCTGTTAAATACAGGCTCACATTTATTAGAAATTCCCATTCTGCCTTTGTAACCACGCCCTGGAGAATAAAAAGCGGACTAAGTTTCCTTGGCTTCCAACAGAAAGAGTTGAACGTAAATGGCTCTTGATATCCTTCAGTTCAAGAAAAGGCGTGGTGGCGGCAGTCACTTATACTACATTACACTATATTCTAGGATGCGAACATGATCAAGGGTAATAATCATAGACAGTCGAGACAAAGTTTTACTCTGTAATATCTTGGATATGAGTTCATATCCTAAAACAACATAAAAACAGATTTTTCAAACAAGGTCAAAACATACTTGAATTAGGACTTTTTGCCTAACTAACTTTATTGAAAGTTAAACAATTCCTCTATTTTCACAGAAGGAACTGATTTTTTTTAAGAAGCATCCCATTCCTTCTCTGGTTACTCTGCTTACGCAGCTATTTCACTTTTCAAAGTTAAAGATCAAAAAAGAAGGCTACACAAAGATAGAGGCTGCGTTGTATTTTACAAGTTCTGAAAAGAGATAGATACAGCAAGACGTGGAATGCACTACAAAAGCAGATATCAAGTGTGCTTGGGTGCCCAGTAAGCTTTCGGATGCCCAGAAAAAACATAAACGGAATCTTGGACATAAGGGATTGAGTACTCAACACGCAAGGCCAGAGACAGGTGACAAGAAGAAAAAGGGACATGAGAAGTAGGTAGAGCGAATTGGGCACAAAAGAGGAGTTAAAACCCTGCATCTTGACACTCCTTCCATGTCTTGGAATTAAACTCTTCACAGACAGAGAAATAAGTCAGTGAGGAAGGATGTAAGCAATATAACTATACACTACTAATGCTGTATTCTACATTCCAAAAATCAAATACAAAATGTAGCTAAGCACAGCTCCCCTCTAATCCTCTGTATATTCATTTGCCAAACTTGAACATACATAATTACAAGAAAATAATAAGCAGAGGACCAGAAATAGGAAACATAGCAAACCATCAGGATAAAATCCCATGCATATGAACAATTACTATGGGAGGTACATTCCCTTAAAGTAATCAACTTTTAGTCTTGATCTATCCTCCTTTAGCAACTTCCACTTTAAACTAAGTGCCGATCTCCACATTTTAAATTGCAAATTACTTTTCTAAATCACTTAACATCTATCCTTGAAATTTCACATGTCAACAGCTCATTAATATCTACAGTAAATGTAGCTCTCTGAAAAGAACCACAGATTTTACATTTATTGAGACAGATAGCTGGCACAGAGAAATAGAGCTCCTTCAATTATTATTTGGCAGAAGCTAACTTTAGTTTAAAATCCGTCTACAGGAATTTATGGCAGCACTGCAGTGAAGTGACTATTTTGAATAAGATTAGCTACTGTTGATGGTGATGCTTGGACAGTGTTTATAAATCAAACCTAGAATGCTGTATTTCATAACAGGCCTCTTCAAAACTACCTACCATAATCACCTATGCAGTATATTATGATAAATGCAAACATGGTTGGAGATTAAAAGTAATAAAATGATCTACCTAAGATAACGAGCACAGGCAAACCATACACAAAGACTTTATCCATATACATTTTCCACAGCTTATATCTAACTTAACTCAGACATTTGTAAAGAACAAGAGATAGAAATTAATCAGAATAGCACAGCTACCCCAAACAAGTATTTCAGTAACCTCAGACCTGTCTTATACAATTTAACTCACGTTCCTTCAGAAGGAGGACAACTTAGATTGTGAAAAAAGTAGTAATCTGAATAGCAGCAGATTGGGGTTTTCTGTTAACCAATATCCAATTATTCTATTTCCTTGGTAAAATTAAATTTGAAATTCACCTAGAAATGAATATACTAAATAAAATTTAAATGTTTTAAATTCAGACAAAGTCTTAGGAAGCTTGCCAGAGATTCAATTTTTTATTTAAGATTCAAATGACATCAGCACTGGTTTTTTTCCTTGTTTTGTTTTGTTTGTTTGCTTGTTTTTGCAAGAGTACTAACTTACTAAACAAAAAAAGCAGATGGCAACTGAAATGTCTGCCTATTTATGGGGGGTTTTGTACAATATAAACATTTTCATGTTTTGCCAAGATACGGCTTGTAGACTGTGAATCAGTGAGCACATACACCAACTGAAACAGCAACTACTAATAAGAGTGAAGAAAACCTCTGTTAAGAACACCTTTCCCTGACCTAAGAAGCTTATAGCCTGCACGAGACTTGGAAATAACTCCACAAGAGAAAGGAATCAAATGCGGAAACCTTCATTTTCATCATAAAAACAAAAGCATGTGCAAATGTAAATGAGCATATTCAAGTGAAAACAGTAATAAACAAAATCTGTATTCCACAGTTCTAATTGCCTGCTTATCCGAAGAGCTCTTCACCATAACTAAAAACAGACATGGATAAAACCAATCAAAGTTCCAGTGGCTAACTTACCACAGATTTCTGACAGACAATGGATATGAAAAATTGAAATAACAGAAGTGGTTCATTTAATAAAAACAAAGTAGCTTATTGGTAATACATGCATTAAGTTTAAAATCCAAACTTAACTGAATGTTTTATTAATTCTGCATCTGCTCAGGCTAAAGCAAGGTTTTTAACATTTTGGTGAGTAATTCAAGAGCTAATTACTGTTCCAAAATTTGGTTGAAATCAATGTAGCTTTATAGTTATGCATGGGGCTTTTACAGTAACTTCAGTAAGTTCTCCTGGACTTGGTCATCCAAGCATTTTTGCTACTATGAGATATTATCTATTAAATTTTCTAATATTTCACTATAATAATTTTTAAAAAGCAGTTGTCTACACAGTAATCTTGAGAACAGTCTGTGTTTCAACTGAATCATTGCTTATACTAAATACGGAGCATCAAGTAATGGCTTGTTGTGTACTATCTCCTTGTGATGTAAAGTACTAGAATATTAGCCCATTTAAGATCTTTTTTCTGTAGTTTCTGCGAGTCTAGTCCGTGGAGACTGAAGACTCATTAACATGAGTTGTTAATCCATACTCTCTCTCTCCTTGATAGAAACTACTTGTTCTGAACTGCATCATATGTCCTCACTTCAGTCCAGAACAAGAAGCCAGAGGTTTGCATGGAAAGTGTAACAGCCAATTGAGCAAATCATATTTTATGCAAACTAGTGAGTGAGCTAGTCTTGCAAATTTTGAACCTGCGCAGGATTTCAATTTAGAAATAAGCAGACTAAAAATTGAAGGGAGTCTCTGAAGGCCTTTGACAGGTACACAAAACAGGCTGTAGAAGCTTCATCTTGATCTAACGAAGTTCAGAGAAACTGAGTAGCAGAAAGCACATGGTGTAAGCTTTTGGTGTAAAATAAGCTTTTGGTGTAAAATACAGGGAAAACTGAAAACATGTATACTAGCTACAGCAAAAGTCTCTAAATCTGGGTGCTGGATACACAGGTGCACATCACAGGAATGTGCACAGAAAGGCAAGAACTCAAAAATATTTCATTTAAAAAGAAAACACCAAGCCAACCTTGTAATTTTTGGCAAACAACACTAACAACTAGAGCATCTGAGCTCACACCACTCTTGCTACAACCACCTCAAAACCACCTGTGGCTCTTTCTTTCCCTAAACCCTGCAAGTATCAGCTAGAGAAGAGCTAACAGGCTGCCTGAAACCAGTCTCCACATGGACCTTTACTAGTTATTAACAGAGTTAGGATTTTACAGTTAAATATGAATCTTTTTTCCACTTAGATATGAGCCTTTTTTTTTCCTACTTGAGGTCATACTTCACTGAATTATCCACTTTGATTGCATGCACAACTATTTATCACAGTGGAGCTGAAATGCAGAAATTTGTTTAACTGTAGATATTTATCAGCTGCATGTATCTTAGGCTACGACAACATTCGGCAGCAGAGCTGCTTAGGCAGTCCTTGCCTCCCACCTATGACCCTCCACCAAAACTGCAGTAGTCCAGCCAATTAGACTGCATAACTGCTGTAATAATTGGATTAAGAAGGTAGCAAGGGGACAGGAGTCAATTGTGATCAATATCAGAGACACTGGGAAAAAAAAACCTATATAATCACATGTAGATCTCGCATAATGACTACAGAAGACACAGTCCAGGTGTCTAGCATCGAAATGTCATAAAATATATTGCATTTGTTATCTTCTAGACAAACACAGACAGTAGCCTCATAAGCTGCTTGGTAGCAATCGAGATTGTCTCAAAGAGGTAAGAGGAGCCCTAAGTGGTAGATGAGAGACGTAAATTTTAAGAATTTAGTTTGGTCAGCTGATGCTCCAGAATTTGATCTCAAGCTTACCTCAGAAGGTAAAGTTCTAGCTGCAGTCCTGCTACTAAATTTTGCTGAGCAGGTATACAAATAAACCAAGATTCAACAATCAAATATCCTGGATTTTTCTGAAAAACAGTATGCTTTCTGGGGCATAGTTACAAAGTTTATATATAAAAACTGTTGTTCTAATAACTTTATTTCTTCTCTTTACCAACTAACCAAAGCGAAATATTAGTCTCTTAAAAGAGCGCAATGAAATATGCTATTCCGAGTGGTGCAGCAAACATTTTTATTTCAAAGTGCAAGAGAAGTACTTTTTGAATTAGCTGATTTCACTGGTATTCTGCAATCTTGCCAACTGATTTAGCTTGGGATAGACAGAAGACAGCAAACAAAGAACAGTGCTGTTTATCTCCTGTCTAATCAGCACACTTTTTTTTTTTTAATGACAAACAATTAAAATGCAAAAATACTTTTTATCAACTTCCCTATGCAGTGAGAATTGACAAAAATTAGATGCTGGTGAAATATTTTATCATTAGAAGATCAGGCATCAGTTAAAAATTCTCACCAAAACCGAATGGGATAATTATCGTCAGGAACTATAGCAAAGGGCAATAAACCTGTAACCGTTCTTACCTGTACGAAAGAAGGCGCGATCAACGGCATCCTTGAGCACAGTTACGTCCCAGATTAGTGGCTAGCACTCAACAACTGCCTATTCTATGGATAGGAATAACACTCCAAAAACAAGGTACACATCAGCTTAAGAGTGCTTGATACCAAACAGAACATAGAACAGAAACATGTTCTGAAGTGCACACTGATGTAGACAGACATATTCCTGACCACTTTAACTCTTAAAAAGGAATATTATTGGAATAACTTACGAATCAACATGAAGAACTCTCTGGCCACTTCTGGAACACGCAGCTGCAATAATAGATTCAGGTAAACCTGAAAGGACACATGTAAGTTTTAGAATGTAGTACACTAAGGTACATTAACAAATGAAATAAAATCAGAGCCAAGTCAGTAGCAGGCAACTCAAACCAAAGGAAAAAAAAAAAACATAACACAGTATCTTAAAAGTTACTCTTTGTATGTAGTAAATAATTGTCCAACAAGAAGCTCTTAGACTTTAATGAGATACTAAGTAATATTTAAGACTCTTACAGATAGGGAAAAAAATAATTTAAAACGGTTAAAATAGTCTTTATTAATCTAGAACCTGAAAAGCAGTCTAGAAAACATGAAGCAGGTCTTAAATATGTACAACCATAGTTTCATGATCTCTTTAAGCCAAAAAAGGCAACACCACCATCAACATAAAAAGATTTATCCCTTTTTCTTTGGCCATTTCTGCCCTCCCTCCCCTGTGAAGCAGCTGGTTGGTTTGCAGCAGGTCCGTGATGTCAATTCCATTTTTAACACTTACTATTTTGATGGATTAAAAAGAAAAAAAAATCACTTTCTGAACGGGTAAAACAGAAAACATTGCAATAGTATGTACTACTGATCTTCCACATTGATATCTGTATCATGGAATTAATCTCAGGAGCAAAAGGGGAGAAGAACTGCATCAGTTCCAGGGACGTGCATTCCACAGCCCAGACAGGTCTAGACGTAAAAGTCAGTTCATGTTCTTTGTAGGAAAAACGTTAAATATCAGAAAGTGGCTGCTCTCAACCAACTTTTGAAGTCCACCATTGATGACATCACAACTTTTCAGCTCTTTAATATCTCATAAGGTGTTCTGATCACCCTGTTTCAGAGGCAGTACCTGCAGCGTACGTTAATTGGTTACTTATACCAGTTTAGGAAGCCAGAAGTCCTAACACGCAACACCAAGACTTCAAAATCAGTAGGTTCAATTTAGAAATCGTATCTTATATTTAGAATATTACATCCTCTGGCAACGTGAAATCATTTTACAATCTCTGAACAGACAGATTCACTACTGAACTAAAGGTACTTCTAGCATTAAAAGCCACTACCAGTATCATTTATTTGAGGCAAGATGCATATGTTGCATTCTACTCAAAAAGTAGATGTAATTTTTGATAAGAACAGTGACATATATTAAATACGACTAGGACAAAGAGCTCAACTAACTTTTGGATGAAGAGCACCTAAATGAGTAATTATTATGAGTGGTAAAGACCTATGCCTTGTATTTTATTTGAAATGCCTCTGATAAAGACTTGACTTAAAGCTGAGTTCTTTAAAGTAAGAACTCAAAAAACAGGTTATTATGAACAAAGAGACAATCACACTCCCGACAAGGAGAAAATACATAACTGTACCACACGCTTCAGGACTGTCACAAGATCCTGGATGCACACAGCCTTATTTATGTGAAAGCAGCTCTACATTCAGCTGTCCTCCAAAAGCGTTCGCATGAATGTTGCATTTCTCTGCATCTATCAACTATCTGGTTTAACAGAACCTACAATTAATATTTTATTTGTAGCTCCTGAAAGAGAAAAACATTTTCTTCTCCTCATTTGGGCACAGAGAATATTACTCTAGAAAATGAATTGAGAAGCTTGTTTCTCCTTTCTTATTGACAAAAGCCACTGAGAAAACGTTGTAAAACATCACCAGTGCTGCCTGGCTGACCAGGACTGGAGTTATAGCTACTAGGACATAACTGATTGCTCTAGCTCGATCCAATTGATACTACGTTGGAGGTCTGTTCTTCCATTAACCTTGGATGAAATTGTTCCCTGAATTAGCTTCCTCACTCTTGAAAGCTGGCATCAATTTTCTTCACCAATCCTTTGCTTCAAAGGTACTGTGGACCCCTGAGTACCCAATGGCAACAGAACGGGAAAGTGTAAGAAAGGTGATGCCCATGCATTTTAGCTTTTGGAGAGGGTCTTAGAACAACTTGATGGAGCAAGACACCTTTTAGTTTTATGTGACACACAGTCTCAGTAAACTAAAGAAGTAAGACTGCACCTTGGGCACCAGTTTCTGAATTCTGTTCTCCAACAGAAATAAAATCACACAGAAAATAGGTAGCTTTGTCAAACGCAAATTGCTCCAAAATGTGATCTGGATTGCATGATGGATAGATACTTTGTGTGTCTTTTCCAGGAAAAGAAGGCTTTAGTGAACAGCTCATTATGAAATAGTTATAGACAGTCCCCTTCTACCCAAGAAGAACATAATTAAGTAACTTTAATACCTCTCTAAGGATGTTTTTTAGAGATGAATACTATGCATCTACAGTACAAGAAGCTCAACTATGTCCTACAGGAGGCTCACAGAACTGTGCAAATAGGTCCTGTTCAGATTATTCAATCACAGATAAAGATATTCCCTTTACCTATTGTTCGTATTTGGAAACGGTTTACTATTCTGAACTTTAGCATTTCATAGACATTTGTTTGAAAACTTTAAATTGAATTACATTTAATCTTTGAAATGCTGTTACGACCCAAGAATAGGGCAGAGCAGATTCTAAAATTTCTCGTTCCCAGTTTGGTTTGAAGATAATGATTTATTGCAGCATTCATCAATTGCAGGATAAAAGTTATGCCCATAATATTGATTCTGAAGTTGCACTTATGTCTAATGAGTAAAGAAAACTGGATATCTCTTAGCTGTTTCTCTCAAGAAAGATTACTCTAAAATTTCTTGCCACTCATCCGTCTCTGGGAACGAAGTCAGCTTGTGTTTTTGCTAGCTTAAGGGATGAAAGACTTATTGAGTGTTATAACCTGTGCCACTCACGATGTTTAATCTTTTTGAACAGCTAGCTGAATATCCTTCCAACAGTTTGGATCAAAGAACAGCAAGACCTAAACTAGAATCTATATTTCCTTTTAGACTACCAAAAAACCCGAAGACTGAACTGCAATGGAAATCATTAACCAAATTATTGAGTCATCACGAGACCTGCCCTCTCGCATAATATAATTAACAGTAACCAGTATTTTCGTACTAAGTTGTTAGGCATATCAGTTAATGTGAAGTACTGCATGCATTTCAATTTACTGTATCCAAAATGAAAGGGCTACTGCAAAAGGATACTTTCTAAGGCTCAAAATCTAGACAATTTTTAGTTTCCCCTGGCATAAGTAGGAAACGAGGAATCTGAATAGAGACTGCATGATCCAAACACAAGAAAGCAGTTAACAGATTCAGACTTTAGTATTTTATATGTAAACATCTGGCAGCATAAAAGGGACTCATGTAGAGGAATAGAAAGTCCACATAATTATTTTTATTATCATTTTAAAATATTGACTCAGAAGTTCTTGATATTTAAGGCAAATTCAATATACGAATAACAGTGCCTATTACCAAGACTTTTAAGCCATTTTCATATTGGTTCAAGAAGAGTGCTGACTGCATACTTGCCCCCTTCTAGGTTTGGACTTCCAGTATCCTATTGGAAGTATACTGAAAAAAAAATGGCATGCAGATTAAATTGTAACAAGCTAGCCCTGATAAGAGGAATAAGTGTTAAATGGCTCTCTTCAGCATACATTAACTGAAGTAGTTCCATCAATTTTTCTGCGTCTCCAGCTATCTGCATGAAGCACTGAAAACTGCTGCAAGAGATTCTAGGGCTGTATCAGAAAGTTGCAGCACCAGAATGAAGTGATCCAGCAAGTGGATAGTATAAACACTAGGTTCATCACAAGCTTATGATGAAGAACAGAGTCCACTTCTGATCGCACTAGTTTTTGCTGCCGTTTGTTTAAGCATTATATCTAGTATAGTTTTCTTGGATCTATGAGAGGCAGATTAATCTCAAAAGCTATTACAGATGTGGCCACTGCAAGCTGACCTTGAAGTCTGTCTGGTTGTTTCCAACAAGCTCCAATCAGGATAAGCTCCATTTACATGCATCTCCTCTATGAAACAAAATCAGCTGTAGCTTTAATTTCATGAATGATGTCTTTTATAAGTAAATATGCAAGAAATACAAGTAATAGCAATGTGTTCTACAGTTATCAAAATATGAATTTAACTTTTAGCTTCAACTCACCAAAATGAAAATTGCAGATAACTGCTAAACTAGAAAGCTCTTCTCTTGAGCTTTACAAAGCTTTTAAAATCAGTTGGCTTTTTAAATAAAATACCTATAATTCGGTTCTGTGTAATCCAGAATTAATTTCCAGACTTACATATTGTGTCTCTCCCAATTAGCAGCCATACATAACACTATAATGTTGCACTGCCTCTTGGAGTGACTTTAAATGGATACACTAACTGCCCCAAGCAGTTTATACACTAAACAGCTGCATATGCGTGGAAACGTCTCAGTTCCCGAATTTCTCATCGAAAGCTATTTTCCAGTCATCTAGCTGATATGCTTTTACTGAACTACATGAGCTTTTTGTTGAAAAAGGTTTAAATGTTTAATTTGCTTTGCTATATCTAATATATTATCAAAAAGCCACTTGTGATTTATTTAAAATGTTGAAGGGAAATATATTCAGAATGCTAGGACAGAGACAATTTCCAAACAGCAATCTTGTTGAGTCAGACAGTTGACCAACTGCAATAAATTTTGCTTGTATCTGAACTTCAAAGAAGAGAACAGCAGCTGGTTCTGGAGAAGCTCACTAGATAATCCTCATGGAACTTTTCTGCTGTATGTAGAACCTAAATGGCATTTTATAATTTATTGGCAAACAGTATAAATACTTATTGTGTATAAATTTAAGATAAAGCTAGCTAATTAAAGTTAATAAGAGGTTGAATTAGTTTTATTGTATGTCCATATTGCAGAATAATATCAGAAAATCTTTCTGCATTACAAAATATGGTAGTGGCATAGAGAAGACAGCGCATTGAGAAGAATAAGCGCTTGTAACTGGCCAAGGAAGGAACCACAAGTAAGTTTCTTCTCCTATATGAGTAATTTCATATACCTATCTGTGTACTAGCAGAGGAACATCATAACAAAACAGAACAAAAAAAAAAAAAAAAGGAACCTCATAGTTGGTGCAAATACAGCTCACGTAGCAAAGAGACCAAGTAGACACCTTCCAAATAAAAATTCAAGTACCTAATTTGTTACTAACATCATGCTTAAGCAAGACAGTGTTCTTTGAGGAGGGAGGGAAAAAAAACACTACAGGAGAATGTGCATTCTCAATTTGGCTACAAATCATAACAGCACAGAAAAAGTAAAAAGATACGAGAAAAATGAACACACCTGAGATGTAAATAACAGCATGAATAGGACACAATTTTAGCTATATTAAAAATTTATGTAAAAATTGCATCACTGCATGAGTCACATATTGTCCTTCTGTGGCAAAGGTGTATTGTACCTAAACATTTTGCTTGCGGTATGTCCAAGAACCCGAATCAAGGCAACAGATTAAAATGACTACCTGCTTTTGGCAGACTACTTTTTGAACTACAGGTAAAAGCAGATTACTTTAAGGTGAGAAATTCTCTTTACTTCAAAGGGGCAGCAGCTTTATTTTCCACAGCTAGAGGCCTACCCTCCAGTAGAAGGATAATTTAATACATTTACACTTGGAGGACAGTATATTAAAAAAAAAGAAAGGGGCGGGGTGGGGGGGGGAGGGAAAGGAAAAAAAACCTGTGTGTCAGTGTTCTTTTTGTTTGTCTGATGCTTCCATGGACAGATAATGACTTATTTGTAAAGGACGATGATAATGGGGGTCTATTGCCTACTTACAAACATTAACATTACAAGTCAGTGCCACCGTTATTAGTCCGCAATGACTACTGAGATCAAAAAAACTTCTTTAGTAGGCTTTCTATCTAGCTTTTCTTCTACCAGTCTAAATAGCTGCTGATGTAAAATGGAGACTGCAAGCTTATACAAAGTAGCGTAATCAAAATTTCAACACAGATGTATTATGAAGTACTAGAAAAAATTTTAGGCATATCCTAAAAATATCCTGCAGTAATAAAAACATTAAGAGTTATTCATTTTGCAAAATTATTTTTTAAATCAGAATCTCCAACTTTCAGCTTCATAATTCACATCTATTATATTTAGGTTAGCTTTTCCTGATACATTTTTAAAATTGTATTAGTATTTAGAATTTTCCTAACACTATGCTTATATAAGATAAACATAGAGTACTTACACCACTCCCAGCATATCGAACAATAAATAATAGATTCCCCTGACAGGACTTTGATGACCTGGCAAAGCCCGAGTGCTTTCAGCCAAAATCATATGAAACCATAAATCACTCTTTATTTTATAGAATATTTCAAAATGGATTCCTGCTTTCTACCTTGAAAGTCATTTCATGTGTTATTTATAACCAGTGAAGACCAGAATGGAAGGAAAATTGCATAGAACTAGAAAATTTACTGTGACTGCTTTTATAAAGAATAACTCCTTTTAGAAAAAAATTAGAGTTACTGGCAGACAAACTTGTGAATACAGTCACCTTTTAAAGAGTAATATCCTTTATTTCACAGCTTCACCATAAGCTAATAAAGGCCTCGTGTAGTTTAAGTAGCATTAAAACTGAATATAAACCAAACAGCTAAAGAAATACAAAGGTAAGGGTAACCCCGCATCCTTACCCACACCACTAAAAATAAGTATGTACAGCCAAGTTACAAATCTTTGCACTTACAATGATTTCTGACATAAATTCAGCATTGCTGAATGTTTTGCCTAAGAATTTTCCTACATGATAATTGTCCAAAGATAAAAACCCTGCCATTGACTCTAAGAGCCTAGATCTGAACTGACATTCTCTCAAAAAATAAATGCATTTTTATCTTGGGATAAATACTTACCAAAGAACTCATAATGTTCTCTCCCTAAACATGTACTAGCATTTTAATACCTACACTTATTTAAAAAGTCGACCCCACAAAAGCTTATCAATAATGAACTCACTTAAATAAATACGAATATTGCCCACTTAAGCAAGCATTTACAACATCAGCCCTCCAAAACCAGCTACTACTCACTGACAGATAAATGGAATTTATTGAATATCACTTTCCAAAGATCAGACATTCCACAACAGCAAAATTGCTTTGTGGATTAATGATATTGTACACCATCGACTTTGTGAGAGAAATATCCAATGAGGCCATTTGTGTTTGGTTAGTGGGTAACTTAACCATAGTACTATATTCAAAAGCAGGGGTAGGAGAGCCTTTGGGGGGTGGGGGAGGGGTGGGGAGAACATGAGGAAAAAAAGCATGACTTAAATGTTATAACATAAAATAATAGAACCAAAGAATAATGTTGAAATAGTTTTTTTAATTCTCATATTTTATTTTCACTGGAAATTTAAGATATGGCCATCAGTTTTATATCATATGATAACCTAGTTTTCTTAAAAATTATGGATATATCTTCCACAACATTAATGAAAACTTTGTTACTGGACCATAAAGCCATTAAATAGGACCAGTGTTTTTGTACTGTACAACCAGCTTCCTATAAAATTGCCTTCACAAGACAATGTTTAATCTGGGATAAGAAAAAATACTTTCCTCAATAAAGGAATTTACTTTTACCATGGAAATATCAAGCTACTAGTTTAACACAGAATGTTAAATGCAGCACTGATGACTAAAATTTCACATGAGGTTCCATTCTCATTAAGCTCACTACAGGGAAACAGTTAAATGAGCCTGAAATAAGAAAAAAATCAGATCTAATGTTACCTCTCAATCTAATCACTAAAATTAACAGATGCACAAATTATAAAACCAAAAAAGGCCATACTTGCAGAAAAGAAAGCAATTACTACTACACATTTAAAAAGATCCTTAACACAAACAACCCAGTTATTCCAAAGTCTGTATTTATGACAACTAAACATCTATAGGTACACTGCCTATAACATCAGAAAATAGATACTTAAAGACAAAGCTAAAATATTTCTTTGAAAGTCATTTCCCAGAAGACAGGATGGACAAAAGTTCTACTTTGCGGTAACATTTTATTCTAGGTACAATTACACAGATAAAAAATATTCAATCAACAGTATTAGTCATCATTTATGTATGCCCTTGGCAAAAAGTGGTTGCACAGAAAAGATAGAATTTCTGCATTTTTAGCAATCATTTTGAAGATCTTCAAATTAAATCTACTAGCAGAACTCTATGAAGTGAGCTAACAACTCAAAAATGCAGTCTAATACAAATCCATACCACCATGACCAAATGGCAATGTATCAGAGACAGAACTTAGCTCAGAGAAATCCTTCCTGCCTCCACCCTCCCCCCCCCAACACATACACATCAAACCTCTAGTATTACAAGCGCATTCCAAAGCGGGGAAGGTCATATTTGATGGCTGGCACGTGACCAACTCTAACTGAAATGGACAGTTTAGCCAAAAAGTGCTTTTGTTGTTGAGCTTATTGTTATCAGGTGAATATTTGTAAGAGCGTGGCTAGGAGTGCACAAACTCTTCCATTTGTGGCTTCCTACCACCAGTCACTTCTTTTTCTCAATGAACAGCCAGGTACCTAACACAGGTATCATACATCCAGCAAGTACAACATAACGGGCAACATGAAAGATATGCATATGAAAGCAGGCTGCCACTGCCAAAACAATTCAGCTGGCCTGCATTTTACTCTTGTGATGTCCTTGAGCAAAGGACTGCCAGAGCAGGCTCCATTACATTCTGTCTTCAACAACAATTACAGAATTGCCAAAAGAAAGTTTTGGCAGGACAGATAGGTTTTACTCCTTCACAAGAACCATGAAAACATGAACTCTGTGTTAGATGGTTGTAGTCAGCTCTATTAAAGATATACTACCTTCACTAGCTTCCTTAGTAGCTAGAAATGCTACTCTTACTATTACTAGCTATTGTTTTCACCTTTTAGTTTCCTTAGCAGGTAGAGTAGCTAAATAGGCTGAGATTGATAGTGATTTTATGAAGCTTTCAGTATCATTTTATTCACCACTGTGTACATAAACATGATTTTCTCTTTGCAGTAAAGACTGAATTACCCTCATAAATCACAAAAGATACGCAAACGTTTTAACATTTTGCCCTATTGGTTTGATATTTCAGCCTTTCATTGTCTCCCATTCTTCTCATACGCTCAAACACTCACAGGTCCAAACGCACATGAAAACAACGGGTTCTTTACCAGGGCTTCCATTGTGTACAACAGGGCTAAGAACACAGAAGGGATCTCTTAATTTGCTCAAGAACCTTAATTTTGCATTTTTAATTACATTTAAAGTCAACAATGGGGACAATATGCTTTTATAATTTCTCACAAATCTCAGAATTAAATTAGAGCAATTATATCAACACTGTAAGACGACTGCTTCTTCCTAGTAAACATTTAATATAGCAATTAGACTAAGAAACTCATTTATTCCATTCCAAACCACTTTAAAAAAAGAATCTTAAATCTGAAGGGCACACCTTAATCTGACAAAGTAATGAACTCAAAGAGAGTTCCTGATTTCCCATAGAAAACAAAAACATTTAGAAGAGTCTTGCTTTTGTGCTCAGAATACCACACTGAGGAGGCCTTCAGAGGTCTCCATAAAGGCCTGCAAGATTTGACTGTAAACTTGGGATCCACAAATAGTAACATGTTTACTACTGATCATGTTAGAGACTAGAGCTCAGTGCTGAATTTGAGGCTTTTCAGGAGCAGGGGGGGAAACACCTATCAAGAGTCATTTAGACTCGGCCACTATCACCCTGGGTTCTGCAAAACAGAAATACATTTCAACATCAGATTACATAATCACGATACAGAAGCAGCAAATACTTTATTTCTGAAGGAATACAAGTCTGTCTTGTAGTGACAGCGTTGTGGTGTGTGTTTCAGTGAGAGATTTAAGATCTCCATTATTACTCACTTGATAGGAAACAGGATGAACTTGTACAGGACGTATGAAGCATGGGCAGTTTCTGGAAGTTCACAGTCAAGTCTCTGATATCCCAAATCCTTCAAACATATTTTCTCAAATACTCAGTAATATACTTTAAAGGGAAGACTCAAAGAGTTTTGGATGATCATTTGTACACAAGCACAGAGGTTAGGAAAAAAACTTTCAGATGAGAGCTTCATTCTTATATCACAGGAAATATAGTAGAAAAAAAATCCACATATACTGCATACAGTGAAACAACACTGACTTAGCTCTTCAGAGCTATTTTCAATACAGAAGAGTAATCTTTTAACTCAACAAGGTAGGAGATATTTCAGAAAAAGGGGTTCCCAAAGGCAGCAGGGTCAGACAAGGCTTTATTAAATACCAAAAGAGCACTTGATCTTAGGGGCAGGAAGTGCGTGTGCCCGACTCCCGGCTCACAGCCCCACGGTACACGGACACCCACGTCCTGGCAAAGGCCCGACGCCACACGCCCATCCCCGCCACCTCTCCGCCCGAGCAACTCCCGACGTCTGAGGCCTAACGGCAGCCCTGCAGCAGGCTGCCGGCTCCCCGGAGACTGGCACAGCGCTGCCTACACAGCAGCCCCAGG